GTATGTGAATCAAGACTTACACAATAGCTCCTCATACCTTCCCTCATACCTCCCCCTCCCGTTCCTTTTCTTCTGGACTGATGACCGAATTATCCCGCCGGGGGAATGACACGCTTTTTGTTGTTGGGAATTCATAGGCGTGATGCAGGTAGGCCTATATCATCGTCTCATATAGGTTAGGATGGTGACGGTGTTCTTGCTTTTATATGACAGTAGGGTGAGGTGGAAAGGGAGGGAGAGAGGGGTGGTGTGAAGGAGGAAGGGAAGGAGGAGGGAGGGAGGGACGGAGGAAGGGAGGAAGGAATGGTGGACCGAAGAGCAGGAAGAGGGAGAGATAGAGGCAGAAAAGGTGGGAAGGGGAGGGAGAGAGAGAAAGAGAGAGAATGTATGAGAATGAGCCGTATTTATGATGACAAAATTTAGAAAAAGATATGTATGAGAATAAATATTTTCGCAGTGCAAGAGATGTATTTAACCGGTTTCGAATATATCTCCGTCAGAAATACATGATTCCCAAACGCAGATATATTCAAAACCAGTTAAATTCATTGCATTGTGAAGATATTCATTCTCATTCACATGTTTCTACTAGAGATAGACAGAGAGATGGAGACGACAGATAGACAGACAGACAAAGAGAGAGAGAGAGAGAGAGAGAGAGAGAGAGAGAGAGAGAGAGAGAGAACGACCCTTCAAGGAGATAGTGACAGCAACGTCGGATCTCCGAGAGGACAAGGAGGGGGGGGGGGAGCAGCAACTGTAGGGTATGGCTCCACCCCCCCCTCCCCCCTTCCTCCTCCTCAGCCAACCCTCTAAATTTGAAGTTACTCAAACCATAATTTTTAAAAATAATTACGACAGATTCAGAAAACTGAATTACGTGTATCATCGTTCCCTAAAAGGTTCATCTGATTTTACTACCCTTATCCCTTCGCAAAAAAAAACGCATCCTGTTTGCTGCCCCCCCCCATGTGAAATTATCTACACCAGCCAGTGAGTTCAGAGTGACGGAAAGAGATTGTGGGTTAGAGAGAGAGGGGGGGGAGACAGAGAGAGAGAGAGAATGGATAGGGGAGTGTATATATAAATTATTTAATCTTATATATATGTACACACACAGATACACACACACACACACACACACACACACACACACACACACACACACACACACACACACACACACACACTCACACACACACACACTCACCACACCACACACACACACACAACTCACTCACTCACTCACTCACTCACTCACTCACTCACTCACTCACACACAACAACACACACACCACACACACACACACACACACACACACACACACAACAACACAAACAAACAATATAATAAACGTATATATATATATATATATATATATATATATATATATATATATATATATATACACATATATAACCATTTAACTTTTTTACAAAGCCTAAGCAACGTTCACACTCGCTTGAAAATACACAGAAAAAAAACAAACCCCCAAAAAACAAATCAAACCCACAGCGCTTACAATGTGCGAAAATGGTGGCAGCGGCTGTTGGAAATATAGACGATATGTTTTCGATGAACCAACTACATAAAAAGGATTGGATCGCGTAGTTGCGACCGATTTGAATACACGTCGAGTGCATATGAATGGCCGCCTGTTTGTCCAAAGGGAATTGGATCTAATGCTGAATTTTGTATATGGATTCCGTCGTTTAGTTACTGTATATATTACGGGGACATATATCCGCAGTAAAAAAAAAGAAAAAAAAAAAAAAAAAGACTGAACAAATAGGAAATAAAAGATTAAAATACATTAAAAATATTGTATATTACATTAGTGTTATGAGAGTAATATCGTCTTATTGACCCGGATATTTACTTTATTATGGACGTAGTTTGTGATTTTCTCCCGTACTTTCGACTGCATTAGAACTAATGATGTGGGTATTTTTTCTTCGATACTTCATTTGGATATTCAGTATAGTTTGTGTGATGGAGGAAATATACATGTGCAAATATAAGTAATCTGTCTTTGTTCGATTCATCATTTTTAAGTAATTCTCAGACACACTTATTCATACTGAAACCGGCGCGTATATATATATATATATGTGTGTGTTGTGTGTGTGTGTGTGTGGTGTGTGTGTGTGTGTGATGTGTGTGTGTGTGTGTGTGTGTGTGTGTAATGCGTGGCGTGTGCGTGTACGCTGTACGTGGAATGTGTACATGCTTAGCGTGTCGTAGAAGTGAATGGGTAAATCACATCACACATACACTATATTAATTTGTACTGAACATAAATATACGGTACACATACGTCATACATACATGAACCACTTACTATATATTATATGAATATATTATAACCCCATATATACGGATTCTATATCCCTAGCGTTGCAAGAGAATTGCAAGACGGTCACTCTAATCTCTTGCAACGGTCGATGATCGTGAATCCTGAGTCGGCAGAGGTTGTGTGATATTGTGTCGGGCAATGTA